TAGACTTATTCTGACTTGATTTCCATCAGAAAATGGTTTTTGGTATCAATCATGTTTGACCCAATTTCTTTTAAAAGTGCAACTATGAAATTATTTCTAAATTACATACCTAATATCATTTTTTAAAAAGAAAACTAATAGTTTTCCAATGACCATAGGATAGGGTATAAATCCATATATATTTATATTTATTTTGGTTTTTAATGTTACTATAATAATTAGCAGACAAATTTATTACCTTACATTTCCTGAGGTCTGAAGTCATAAAACCAAGATCCAGCAGGGTCTTTGTATGGGCTCTGGAGAAGAGTCTGCTTCCTGGCCTGAGACTATGCATTTCTTCACTAGTGGTACCTTTCTCCATTCTTAAACTCAGAAGTGTAGCAGCTTCAAGTTTTTTTCCTTTCTAAAATCTGCTTCTGTAGTCATATCTCTGTTTTTGATTCTGACTCTTCTATCTCTTCCCTGTCTTATAAACCATTGTAATTGTACTGAGCCCACCAAGATAATGCAATATAATGTCCTCATCTCGACTCTTTATTTAATTACACCTGCAAAGTCCTTTTTGCCACATAAGCTAATGCATTCACGGGTTCTGGGAATTAGGACAAAGACATGTCTAGGGCATTACTATTTTTTCTGCTATGTATTTGGCATATCTATTCTTTTAACTATCACCTCTCTACCCTTCTAACTCTCTCTTTCACTGCATACCACTCCCTCATAGCATGCAATAGCCTCCAGAATAATAATGTAAACAAAAATTATTTTTGCACATGATCACCACCAAATTAACATTTAGGGTCTTTTATAATGTGTTCATGCTAAGTACTCATTTAATTTTTATCACACCAGGAAAGATTATTGTCCACCTTTTATAGGTGAGGAAATTAAGAGGTTTGCATATGTATACAAGGGACATGGAGCCACAGAGTCTGAATCCAGACTGAGACTTACTCTCCCCACATACCTTATTAACTGTTAACTTCTATCCATTATGTTGGATTTTCCTCCAAACAGTTTTCCAGATACACCAGAAAGTTTCATAACAATACTTTTCCTCCACAGCTTTCTCTTTCTGCATTTTACCCTTTATTTAACATTCAGCTCAATTATCATCACCTGTGAAGCTCTTTCCAAATTTGATCACCCCTTTGAAATTTTCCACACCCTTCACTGTATGCAAAATTCACTTCTATTGCCCCCCCCATATTATCTCCAAACATTTATTTATCTACAAGTCTCCATTTATAAGATCCTAAACCTTCTGAGGCAAGTGGCCATACCTGCAGCATTGTATTTCCCAAGAACCTTCTGTTATAACTGAGACATAGAAGGCACTTAATAAATGTTTGTTGAATAAATGAAGTGTAAAAATATAGTAAGTAGGGGTAATAAATTTTGTGTAGGAGGGTGAGGTCACACTGTGGTAAAACAGCACTGTTAGTTTCAGAATTACAAGTATTGCAGAATGATTGGAGTACAATGTAAAATAGGGATGAGCATCAGAAAGAGGTGGAGGGACAGGGAAGGGAAGCTCTCAGGAAGCTATACCAACCATGGAGATGAGACTATCTACTCTATCATCTCCAGAGCCATAGAGATGAGGCTTGGGATATAATGGCAAAATTTGATTGTGAAATGGATATTAAACTTGCATTTAAATAATGTTTTATTTAATAACTGATTTCAAAATCATATGTAATTATTTTTCTCCTCCAATTCAGTGTGGTAGGATTAAAAGTCAGAAAATTACATCTTTAGTCATCAGTTCTACCATGAAATAGCTCAGTATCACCACTTGCATTCTGTTAACATCATGCATCACCAGCTTTTTTAGCAAAATGAGAAGTTGAGACATTGACATTCTATAGACCTTGTCCTCAGTTCTGCTTATCAAGGGGAGAAAGGATACACACACACACACACACACACACACACACACACATTAACAAATTTTGTTAAAGGGAATGTCCTACTTTAAAAAAATACCCTGAACTTTAAATGTTTGGTGATGAAGCAGGCTTAGAAATTGATGATCAGAAATTCAGTTAATACTGCATAACATAGCATGGTTCTGAGAATGGAGATCAACTTGGATCATTTTTATCTGTGAAGCATTTGAATATTTAAAAAAAAAACAAAAAATACTCCAGAAAAACCAGGAGTACCCTTCCAGGTCAGTAGAAGGTGTCATTCAAAAAGTCAAGGGAACAATTAAATTCTCCAATGTGAGCTAAAGACACTTAGTATCTTCATGGGAAGAAACTGCATTAGTATTAGCCTTCATTGAGACCTAGATGAAAATGCACATACATGCACACATAAATATCTTATCTGCAATAATGCAAGTAATTATTGTTATGCTTATTTTTGCATATCGAGAAACAGGTGCTTAAAAGGGTTATTTTCAGTATTACAAAGTTGGTGAGCAGTGGAGCCAACACTTTACCTCAGTTGTGCCAGCCTCTAAAACTCATGGTATTTTCTACCACATTTTTCTCTCTCATTCAAGGGAAACCAATTAAATATTTGTTGTGTGCATTTTGTTTATGAAACAGGCCAATATCTGCCCCTGAGAGTTTCAAACTCAATACCTAATTTATCATTTCCACTTCTTACATGTCATGGTCCTCCTTTTATCACTTAGGAAATGGAAGCTACATAGTTACAGAGTTGACTTTTACAATAAATACTTTTCATAAATGATACTCGTGTGTGACACCAATAATACTTCTGAATGTAGAAAATGGGAGAGGGATTGTAAGTTCTATAGTTAGGTGTTAAAACTCCACTGTCATTGCAGATTTCCTCAGATTTAATAGTGAGATAAACCTTCGTTCATTAATGCTTGCAGTGTGCTGAGTACTGTGCTAGACATTAGAAAGTCCATGACAAGCAGAGAGAGTGTCTTCAGAGAAAATGAATAATTTAAAAAATAATTACAATAAAGTTTGTTAAGGGCTATGAAAATCCATTTCAAGATATGGTACATACCTGCAATGGAATGCTACTGAGCCATAAGAAAAAAATAAAATACTGCCATTTGTGACAACATGAATGAATCTTGAGAAGACCATGCTAAGCAAAGTAAGCCAGACAGAAAGGGTCAAGGGCCATGTGATTTCACTCATAAGTGGAATATAAAACTAAAAGCAACAAAGAAACAAACAGATATTCACAGACAGAGACAATAGTATGTTGGTTAACAGAAGAAAATGGGGTGTGGGAGATAGTAAAGGGTAGAGAGGGTCATCTGTATGGTGATGGGAGAAGATTTGACTTCAGGTGGTGGGTGTACAATGCAGTATACAGATGATGTGTTATAGAATTGTCCACTTGAAATTTATATAATTTTATTAACCCATGTCATCCCAATAAAGTTAATTTAAAAAAAGGGGAAAAGGAAATGTATTTCAGGAGATTTTAACCTAATCTGGAGATGTTAGAGAAAGTTTCTGAGTAGAAGTAATGTTTAAGTTTACAAAAAAGAATAAATATGAATTAAAGAGTTGAAAAGGGATGTGTGATACCAAACTGTGAACCATCATGAGGTGGTCCTGTATCATTAAGGGACAGGCTTCTAGGAGTGAAACAGTAAAGTACAGGGAAGGTAATGGTCAGCTATATTGAAGGTCCTTTCTCTCAGAGTTTACTATTCAATATCAAGAAATAAAAAGCACCAGAAGAATGTAACAGGTATGATATTTCACAGTCACAACAGTCCATATAACAGAGGTGTAAAAATGGAATATTTCTTGACTAATTTTTGAGCCTCTATCAGATGACTTACTATATAAGCTTTCAAATAAATTTAGTCAAATTGCACAACTTTTCAGGCCACTTAGGAAAAGCGTAGCCACTTCAGGAGCACTCCAGTGATGCTCAAACACAAATCGCTATGTCACTGTTTTCCTTAAGGGTGTTTTCCCTTTTATCTCTCCCATCTTACTTTTAAACTCACAGGATGTGGGCCCTGCACGCTAGTTCTCAGCAGTGGTGTTCAGCACAGTGTGTGTGGTGCTGGTGGTTAGGGAAAGAAGGGACACATTTACGTTCTTAGCAGAGAAGCATTGCGGTAGTAATGACACAGCATGTCATATTAGACTCAGGTGCTGGTCTAGGCTGGCCTAGGTGGTGATGTACATGAATCTTGGATGGAGCCAAGTGTTGGCCTTGGTGCACATTCAGCCTCCTCAGAGCTCCACATGGGCAGTGCATGTGCACCTGTCTCAGGTGAGCCCCTTTTTCTTTGGGAGGTTTCTTGGCTCACTCTGCCAGCCAGTCTCCACAGTTCACTCTGGGCCTATGGGAAACTTACACATGTGCTTATGCCACACTCAGATCATGCCTAGCATTACTATCTTTTTCCCAGGACAGATTTGGGGAGTTTCTTTCTTGTGCTGCAATGGGAAAACAAGACATCAGTCTTTGCTTTACTTAAATTTTCCCTGATCTTATCAGGAATTCCTTTGCTCCCTTCTCTACCTTGCATGACTTGCATTGGAAGAGGGGACACAAAGACCCCATTCCCTACTTGGTTGACCTCCATCTCTTCTCTTGGTGTCCACTTTATGCCTAGCTCAAGGTTTCTCAACCTTGGCACTATCAACACTTGAGGCCAATTTATTCTCTGCTGTGGGTCTGTCCTGTGCACTGTAGGTGTTTAGCAGCATCCCTGGCATCCCTTATCACTGGATTCCAGTATCATCTATCCAAATCCGCCATTCAAAAATGTTCCCAGAAATGGCTAAATGTCCTATGTATGCAAAATTGCCACCCAATCATCCTCTCCCAAATGCAGCAATTTTGTTTAATTTGTTGAAAAGGAGATAAATTAATTCTATTAAAATAAATTCATTTGAGGGCTCTGACATCTAAGGTGGCCAAATAGTTGTGCCACACAATCTCCCCTACTCCTGCGAACATGGCACTGTGAGTGTAGGGCAAGTGTGGCCCCACTCTGCTTGCTGTGCATAATAAATTCTGGGGAAACATAAATGGACAGCAGAAATTTGTGCTGGAACAGTGGAAAACACCAATTTTTGCAGGAAACTTTGGGAGATGTTTACTATAGTCTGCCAGAAATTGGGACAAAACTGGACAAACAAGATGAGTTTGGTGTTTTGGACAGTGTGAAAGCTGCTAGTGAGCTCTCTTTCCCTCTATCAGGAGAAGTAACTGAAATGAATGCAGCTCTTGCAGAAAATCCAAGACTCGTCAACAAATCTTGTTATGAAGATGGTTGGGTGACACATAGTGACCCTTCAGAACTAGGTGAACTAATAGGTAAGGAAGCACATGAGTAACAGAATCTATTGAGGGGTGAAAATTGAACCCCCAAATAAAGTTGTGTAAAGCAAAAAAGAAGGATTTGAAAATATTTTGTCTGATGCCTGAAATCTAGGTTTACTTTTTTCTAATTTCAGGGGGACTCTAGAGTTCATTGTTACCTTTTACTTGCTGAATCTGGTAAACCTTCTCCTTGTCTCTCAGGGGTAAGTGTGACCCCAAATCTTCCAGGTTGAGAGTTAGAAGCCAGTAGAACAAACCTTTCATGTGGATTGGTGCTTTTATGCCACAAATTAATATTTTATATATCATCTGCCACAATAGTTCTACAGCATCTAAGAAAGGATTCACAATACAAATTTAAGTAGTTAAACATTTCTAAGATTTGAGCAATGAAATTATTTATTGACTTTTAAAAATACTTTGTATATAGGTATACAACTCATTTTTAAAAATAGGCTGTCCCTAGATAATTCTCACATTAGCTTCTCCTCCTTTTCTATTCACTCACTTTGGTCTCCATTATCAGCAGATTGTTTACACCTGGATCCCAAACTATCATTATTGTATCATGCTACTGATCTATTATATCTTACTTTCTTTACTTGCTACCTTCTTCTATTTCTGTCATGACAGAGGCAGAATGGTTATGGGAACAACTGCATAAAACACTTGATCAAACCAAGCTGTTTTGTTTTCATGCGATACATGCTCCAGTGGATAGACTTCTAAAAACCACATGTATCACTTTGCTCTGTCTTAAAGTAGTTGTTTCCCATCCTATAGCTATGTGCTTAGTGAGTTTACAATTAATTTATAATATATTTGAGTAAAGGAGAAAAGTAATTTTCAAAGGGAATACAACTTTAAGTTTAATGAAAACTAACATGTAATCAACCAATAGTATTAGGAGAAAATGGGAACTGAAACTGTTATCTAGTTTAGTTCATTTTAATATTCCTGCTATAAATGTCTGGGTTCACACAATATTATACACAGAAATTTAAATCACCACAGCCAGTTTAATGGCATAAACAGAACAATAGTAGGCACAACGAAATTAGTAGCAATAATGCATTTTCAAACTAGGTATTTATCCATTTAAGTTCTAAAAATCCTAAACACATAACTAACCCAGTAGCATAATTCTTGAAGTATACATTATACAAAAGACTAATTTTTATATAAAAACATTATTACAGGACTAAGTTTTAAAAGGGTGTTTCTATTGTATAATGAAGCTAATTAAAATTATACATAAAAATTGGTGAAGTTAAAAATTTGTTTCTGCATTTTTATCCATTTTTGAATTTCCAAAAACTGGTGCAATTTCAGGTACATAGGAGGTACTTAATAAATTTGCATTTGAAGGGTAAATATAGTTTTATGGAATAATATGTGTGTTAAGTAGAGTAATAAGAGAAGAGATCTATGTTTTAATTTTGAAGTATGCCTGAATAAATTAAGTGTTCAACAAATGCTGTGATCTAGGCTGAAAATGTTGTTATGGAGAAGTTAAAGAGAGAAACCAGAGTGTTTATACAAGTTTACCATATGGGATAAGCCATCTGGGACAGAACACATTTGTCTTCCTGGTATTCACACCAATGTGTAACCCCTATTCTTGAGTGGGGAAAGACCTAAAGACTCAATTCTAATGACTGAAATATGGCTTGGAGGGATGTCATTTCTCAGAGTAGGTCACAAAGCACTGCAGTTTTAATTTCACTTGCACTGCCTCTGGATCTTCTCACTTGCTTGTTCAGGTGAAGTCAGCTGCTGTGTTTGGAGTTTCTGGCATCTGGAAAGAGTCAGTAACTGAGGGCCTCCTTCTAACAACCCATACAAAACTGAATGTTGACAACAGCCATGTGCATGATGTTGAAAGTGTTTCCTATCCCAGTGGAGCCTGGAGATGACTATAAGCCCACATGATACCTTGATTGCAGCCTGTGAAGGACATGGGGTTAGAGGACCCAGGGAAGTCATGTCCATATGCCTGAGCCACAGACACCATGAGATAACATATGTTGTTTTAAGCTGCTACAGTTTGGGTAATTTGTTATGCAGCAATCCATTTTGAAAGAAGGACCCCAAATGCCCAGGAAATATGTCTTCCATTCTGTAAGACCATTACAACTCTGAGATCAGTAAACTAGGTGACTCACTTGACCCAGAAGTTATGCATTAAAAAATAAATTAATAAAAGTAGTATTTTTCTCACAATCACTAATTTATGAGTTTTATCTAAAGTCTTGTAAAAAAGTAGAGCAGTAGAGGGTAAAACTCAGATTTAGGATAAGGGTATGAGTGGTTGTAATAAATATTATTACAGGATTAAGTTTTTTTTAAGATTTTATTTATTTATTTTTTAGAGAGGGAAGGGAGGGAGATAGAGAGAGAGAGACATCAATGTGCGGTTGCTGGGGGTTATGGCCTGCAACGCAGGCATGTACCCTGGCTAGGAATCGAACCTGGGACACTAGGATTAAGTTTTAAAAGGGTGCTTCTATTGTTTAATGAAGCTAATTAAAATTATACATAAAAATTGGTGAAGTATATTGTATATTTAACTGTATACTAATTGTATACAATTATATACTTAATTGTAGTATAATTATATATTTAATTGTAGTATAATGGGAGAGACAGACATATAGAAGCACACACACACATGTACAAGCACATGCACACACTCCTTACTGTGAAACAATGGGATGAGTGCACAGGCCAGTGTTTCTCAGCTGGTTAGAACATTGTCCCGTAAACCGAAAGGTCGCAGTTGTGATTCCTGGTTGGGCACATGGCTAGGTTGCAGGTTTCATTCCCGATCAGAGTGCATATGAGAGGCAACCTATTGATGTTTCTCTCCTACTATCTCCCTTCTTTCCCCTCTCTCTCTAAAATATAAGCATGACATTTAATCTTCACCTGAAGACATTAATGAGCATGTCTTCAGGTGAAGATTAAAAAATGTGTTGAGTGCTTTGCAAAATGTTTACATGGTGTATAACAGAAGAGAAGTAACAACTTCTGAGGGGATGTGTCTGGTCTGTCCTCTGGGAAGCAGAGAGTGTGAGGGAGCTAGGAAGATATGGGCTTCATTGGGGGTTTATACCTGTGAAAGCTGTAGGTGGGAGGAGCAAGAATGACATGCAGAGCCTCAGACCAAAATGCAGAACTGGCAACATCTCATCCAACAGGGAATTCCTGAGTAAAGGTTGCCCTTTTGAGGAGTCCTGCTTCAAATAAAAGGAGAGTCCTTATAATTCTGCCATGCTTAGTCTCTGGCTGAGGCTATCCAGCTCCTACAGCATGATGTTAACCCAAAAGCTGAGGTGGATCCTGAGGGGGTTAACAGCTGGAGGCTGCCATCTAGCTGTGCAGTTCATAGTTGAGTATAGTTATCTCTTTAAAAGAGATCTGGTTCTTTGCAGTGCAAAATCAAGGAATGCTCCCTAAATCATGGTATGCTGGGATTGAGCTCAGAAAGATGGGAAACTGGGAATGAATGAGGCAGCTGAGCAGGGGAACTGCATGTTCAAAGGCACAGTGGCTGGAGGCAATGCTCTGTGTAGTTGGGAAAGGCTGGAGAGAAGTGTGGTCATGAGATACCTCTCAATTTGAGTATAGATATTGGCAGGTGCCAGGTAATGAAAGCCCAGGTGACTCATATAGTTAAAACTTCATTTTTAAAGCTATCATAAGTGTGGAAGACTGAGAATTTTGATCAGAGAATTATAGTAATCAGGTTGACAGTTTCATAAAGCTTTTGCTTTGAACCAATATGAGAAAATAGCCAGTGCATTGTAGTTTGCTATACTCATGAACCATAATGTGTTGATGCCGTTATAATTTGTCTGATGAGCAGTAATTACTATATAACCTATATATTACTATATAACCTATAGTAAATGTAACCTACATTTACTATAACCGCAAATGTCCCAGAGACACAGTATTTATGTTACAGAACACAAGGGGCCAAGGGGCGGGGGGCAAGGGCAATATACTATTACTGAAAGGAATTCTCCAGGTTCCTATGTCTGCCGCCTTATAGGAAAGACATCTCTCAATGCCAGAGAGTCATGAAAAGGAAAGGAAATGTTTATTTAATTCTATACAAACTTAAAGTAGTGACCTAATGTTTTCATCAAAATCCCAAAGTCCTTTAAAGCACCCACAAACACACACAGTCCTTCCTTCCCCCTTTGCCCAGTTTGGGGTACTGTATCTCAGGAAAAGAAATAGAAGTCCATGGCTCAGGCAGCCCCTGGTTCATCCCAGTAACCCGTCTCAGCTAACAAGTATTCCTCGGTTCCCAGCACCATCAGCTGTGTCACCGGGATCTCTGCTAAAGCTGAGTAGTGGTTCCCCTTTCTAAAGCTTTGGGGGTCCCCACTCTGGCAAAGCTGCATGGTTCTCACATGTCCACAGCTGTATGGTCCTCTTGCCACAATGGCTGCAGAGAGGACCACTCAGCTGTGGCAATAGAAAGGAGAGCCACGCGGCTATGGACATGTAAGAGAGCCACGTATCTTTGCCAGAGTAAAGGCATGGCCTGCAGCCATGGCTATGGGAGTCCCCATTATGGCAAAGCCACATGATTCTCTCTTACAGGGACACAGGAGTCCCCACTCTGGAAAAACCATGTGGTTCTCCCTCCAATGCCCCAGCCGCATGGTCCTCTCTCCAAAGGCTGCCGAAACTTAGTTTTAAATCCCCACACCAATCTTCCTCTGCAGCCCCATTTCCGACTCCTCCCACAACCGACTACACTTGCCAGCACTCCCATATCCTTCCAGCTTTACTCGCTGCCATCATGAGTCTGGGCAGGTGTGGCCCTGTGTCATGGAGACAATCTTCTCCAAGCTCCCACACAGGTGCTGTAACTCGGGGGACCTGCCACCCAGTTTCGTCTTGGTGGGGAAGTTGCTTCCATTCCCCTGGCTCAGATCATGGCCACAGCTATTTAATATATTTATGTAACCAATTAAAGGTTATTGATATGTTAAAT